TGTTTAGGAAAGTTGTCTTTGAAAATATAAACTGAATCAGGATTCAATTATAAGTAGGGAATGTATTAGTACCTTATATTATCTGTTTTAAAAATAGTTGTTGTAAATTAATTGTGCAAATTATTGATAAAATTTTAAATATTTATTTTACCGCAAAGATTATATACAATTGATCATTAGAAAAGAAAACAATTTTAAAAAATTATTTTTGGGCTTGATGGGAAAAATCCTACTCCGAGGTATCCCTCGTTACAGTAGGAAACTCAAAGCTACATTGTTACGTAGAAAAATATTTATGTGTTGGTTAATTTTAGTTTTGAAAATAATTCTAAGGAAATTCATTTGATTGGATGTGAAAGTTTTTGATCATGGAGCTGTCACAGTCAAAATGATAATTGTACCATTAATAAATTGTCTCAACTCAGTTAATCATTTTAAAATAAGCTTAGTTTTTCGACATAAAAATGAAAACAATAATTACATCTTAAGAAACACTACTAGATTTATAAATTTTTTCACTTATATAATCCTTACTCATTCTATTTCGATCTAATGTGTGATTTTATTAGTTATCCTTTGGATTCTCAACACTTAGTCTCCATATAATTTTTGTGGGTTTCCAATATTTTTAAACTTCTAAACTTACCTTTCACATTTTTAAATATAAATGCAAATAAATTAATTATTGTACTTATCAAAATACACGCGTTAATTTTTCAATTTTTTTTTATTTGAAAGCTGGTACTTATTAATTATAGGTGAATAAATGATTAATTTTTTAAAAAAAGGAACGTAAATTATTTAAGTATTTAATTGATTTTTGAGTGTGAAGATTGGCGGAATCTACAGTACAAGAGAGGGGCATAAGCTACCACACTACACTGTGACCCTACCTTTGCTTTTCGAGGCACGCGTCCCTTCCACGCTCACCGATGGAAATTCGGTGGCCTCGTGCTCCTGTTCTCCCGTGATGACACGTATCACATCCAGGGCAGTTCACTCTGTAGCTGCAACGATTTTAACTTTTTGTCATACTGTTTGGTTTCTCACTATACGACGTCGCTCGGTTGCAGGGTTTTCACATCAATCGACGTTGCGTCACCTGGCACTGTACAAGCCTGCCAATCGTAGCTCGACACGTTTCCTTTCTGTGACACTTGCCTTTCGCACTCTTAAGACCGTTGGAAATTGGCGAAGACCCGAATGGACGTTGTTGTTTTGCACTATTAATTAAGGATGTTAAGTATGTTTTGATGTTACTGTGTTACCATGCAAAAATTAAAAAAAAAAAATGCTTCTTGTACGAATTTAAGAATTAAGATGCACAATATATTTCATGTAAAGTATAAAGAATCATTTCAATCTAAAATTTCAAGATGTTGGATGAGAGTTTTTTTAATGATTTATATTATACTCTAACACACCTTTTCACGTAAGAGTTTTTTGAACTTGAAGCGTGAATTATTGTATATGCTCAATTTTTGAGGATCAATTGTGATCTTGTGGTCACTGAAGCTCTGATACCATGTAAAGAATCATTTCAATCCAAAATCTTAAATTGTTGGGTAAGAGCTTTTTTATTGATTTATATTATACTCTACCATAAAGAAATAACAATATTGTTTTTTTATAAGCAGTGTACGATTTAAAAGAGCTGTGATGAGATAAACACAGATGGAGACTTTTCACTACCATTCCATTTATATTTGTGAACTGAAATAGATTTATGTGTGATACATGTGTGTAAAATTCATTATAAGGATCTAATGTTATTTAAATATCATGTCATATTTTTATAAAATAAGTACACAAGAAAATTGTAATTTTCAGGACAATTTGTTTTTTTTTTTTTTTTTTTCATTTTTATAGTGCATGTGTAAAACACCAGAGGCACCTGTGGCGTAAAAATAATGGTACGTGCATTGAAAGCAAAATCGGGCTATTTCCTTGGCCACGAAAAAATGCAGTACATTTATATTTATCATTATCATTATCATTATCAGTATGTAGTTTGAGTTGTGGATTTTAATAGAATAAAAAAGAACCCACGTTTCTCTTCCTTGTTTGGAATAGGAGGCTATCAAGTTACCAATTCTTACACAAGCTGTATAATACTATTTCATGGAATCACTCAAAGCAGAGTACAATTAAACTTCTCCTTTGACCCAAATGTGCTTTGCAACTAACCTTAAGTAACCTGTCATTTGGTTTCCGTATGAAATTCAATTTATTGGCGTTTCTTTATAGGGTATATGGTTTTGGTAAATGACGGCACCAATAACTACAAGAAATGACAAATAGCTAGGTTTGCAACACCCAAAATAACTAAGAAAAAATAGAGTATGAGGTTGGTTTCATTATTTATGGAAATGAATTAGGAAGTTATATTGTCCAAATTGATCTTGGTATTCATTCATGTTTGCAAATATCAGGCTCTAATTAAGTTCAACTAAGATTATTTAATTGTAATATACTAAAAAAAAAGATTATTTAATTGTTTTCTTTTATAACTATTAGTATGTGTACGAGATTTTTTTTTATACTAACCCTAATTAACACATTGAAATGAGTAGTCCCTTGAATATCCCCATGAGTTTTAATTCTTTAAGTTGACTATGAGACTAATCTCAAGTTCGGGTTTAGTCTTAGTTAAAACACTTTGTCTATCTTCAAAGATATACTTTGTGGAAATCGAACTCAGGTTCTTTCCGTACTTACTCGGTCTGTATTGCTAACAAAACTACACACATTGGATCCTATGAAATATTTTACCATGAAGTAAAATGGTAATTAATTAAGATAATTAAATTCTAATGGCTCCAATCATATGATGTATTGCGCACAATAATGGAGTTGGGTGCATGGTAATTAAAAACTCGTTTTAAAACTGCGTTTTTTATGTTTGTACGATTTTGTTTTCATCAAAACGTTTTTATCAACATTCCAATTCTTTTTTACTTTTTACTATTTTTTTATTACAATTTTATGTTTTACGATTTTTTATTCCTCTTTTATTTTTAGGTAAAAACTCGATTTTAACTACCTTGGTTGAGTGCCAATTGGAATTTTCTTGTTAGCATAGATATAAAAATCAATGAATGAATTTTACCTAACCAATCATGCTTGTTTGTCTAGCTTCAAATTGACATTTAGCTAAAAGATTATTCACTTGAAAATGTCTCATTGCACTTAATGGCTTGAAGAGATAATATTTGCTCGCCCGACCTTGTAGCACCTTTGGTTCTACATAAATGTGGTATTTTATACCTAGACAATTTCCATGTATGACATGAGTAATGATTACATTAAGCATGTGATGTACGTATTGGAAATGTAAGTCCAAGAAGAATAATGGTAAGTACGAACTCAAAAACTAGTAATAGATTAAATTTCCCAGATTTGTTCAAAAGCTAACAGTTTTAGCATGCTATTCAACAGCTACTTATATCCAATAAGATTCTATTAAGATTTTACTAAAAAAAAAAAAAAAAGATTCGATTAAGAAAACGTTTTGCATAAATTATTTGAATTAATGTATACTTACTTTACTTCAATTAAAAAAAATCATGGAATGAATTCTGTAAATTATTTCTCCAACAATTAGAAGATTTCCTAAATTTATAATCAGCTGCAGTTAATAAATTACTTCCATAACTTCCAAAAAAAATAAAATTAGTTCCATATCCTATATACCATAGTCCCTAGGCAAGAGGTAGGTAGGTGCTAGAAATTGTTCTCTCAAACCAGTGAACTTCTAACTTTCAAGGTCACATCTTATTTTCGAAGTGCTGATTGCTGACATTGTAAATACATATTTCCCAAAAAGATTCCAGCCTTTTACAATTCTTTTTTAAATAATTCTAGTTCCAGAATCAGTTAATTCAGTAAAATATCTTACTAGTCATTTTCCAATTTCAACCAACATTTGTTAACTATACCTTTTTTTTTTAATATTTCAATCGGTTCATCGTTTCGCGACTAGTCCGATTCGGGACGGGTTCATGATTAAGGTTTTAAACCCCTTCCAAAAGATGATACTGGAAAAGATCAAACACATGCTCTCTCGCCCACCTCCTACTACTCTATACGTTCTTCTTTTCCCACCTATTTCTTTACATCTAGCATTACTAGCATTTAATTACCACGTATAATAAAAAAGAAATAATCATATAACTACTGTTGATTCATGAAGTCATTTCTTACGCCTTCCAATAATTCTGCAGTTTGAACGAATGAATGCAATGCTCCAAAGGTGGCTTCAATTGGCTCATCTTATCTCAATAAAAAAAATAAAACATTTATTTATTTGCATGATGGAGAATGGAAGCCAGTCATAAATTGACACGTGTGGGATCCATTTTAAGGTATGTGACGACGTTTTTATACTCTTGCTCTACCACCCTGAATACAGTGGGAAAATGACACAGATTTTTCTTAATTAACACAACTGTCACCACGCGCCAGTGTCACCACCCAGATTCCAACTCAGACAACTTGGTGGAGCACAATTTGAGTGATATGCACGCTCCTCTATTGCATCTGGGTGACATGTTTGTTTACCAAAAATGCCATAACATGGAAAAGCACGGGAAAAAGATAGTTACATGAAACTAGAAAGAACTCAACCCTAAGCTCCACTCCATTTTTCTGGTGGAGATTGGAAAATCCTGAGGATAAAAAACCAAAGTTAGAGAGTACAACACAACCCAAAACTCATAGTACTTTCCTCTCTCTTTCTTTCTCTCTCTCTAGGGTTTCAAGTTTCTAACTTAGTATTCAACTTTCTCTTATTTTTCACAAATTTGGTTGCACTTGGGTACTGATCCAGAAAAGAAGGATCATCAAGCACCCAAGAGAAGGTAAAGGGAAAAGGGAAGAAAAAAACAAGAAAAGTGGAGAAAGAGATAGATATTGTACAGAAATAGAAAAAATTAAGTGAGAAAAAAAAAGGGAAATTTTTGAAGAAGGAGGAGTGAATAGATAGGTTGGAAATAGTAAGGATGGGAAGAGGAAGAGTTGAGTTGAAGAGGATAGAGAACAAGATAAACAGGCAGGTCACATTTGCAAAGAGGAGAAATGGGGTTCTCAAGAAAGCCTATGAGCTATCTGTTCTCTGTGATGCTGAGGTTGCTCTCATCATCTTCTCCAACCGTGGCAAGCTTTATGAGTTTTGTAGCAGCTCTAGGTCTCTCTCTCTCTCTCTCTCTCTCTCTCTCTCTCTCTCTATATATATATATATATATATATATATATATATATATATATATATGATCTTTCTTTTCTGATTGTGAAATAACATACTCTTTGTTGACCTGTGAGATCTATTTGCTTCTTTATTTTTATTTTATTTTGGTGACTTTCATTGGATTTGTTTATACCAACAATTAAAGAGAAAGTTGGCTTGTGATTATTTAATTAATTTTTTAAATATTTTTGAGCCAGTCTTTTTTCTTTTCTTCTCTTATCCTATCTCTTGTTATGTGAATTTTTGGCTTCTGTAAGATCTGCTGGCTTGGAAGAAGTTTTATGTTTTTCTCACAATGAGCTAACATAGTCAAAGTTCAGTTTTGATTTGATCTTTTGTGTGTGTGTGTGTGTGTAATGTTGTAACTGGTGGTAGATTTATCAGATCTAGTATATGATCCGGTGAATATCTAATATTTTGTGTACTTGTACGGTTAACTTTTGTTAGATGATTGTTGACTAGCTTTTTATTTTTATTTTTGTTACTTTCTGGGGGTCTTTTGCTTAATTTTATGTTTTAACTTTTTTCCTTGAGATCTGGCTTTTGATAAGAAATGAGATCAAGATCTTTGCTGTTTCTTGACCTAATTTTTGCTTGAGATTCTTCTTAATTAAGTATTTTACTTTCCGGATTTTCGTTGGAAGTCTGCTAAGTGAGTTGGTGACAACTTCAAGTTGTAACAAGGGTCTGAAGTGTGAAGTTCTGTATAACTTCTTCTATGGAACATGTTTTCCAATGAAGCCGTAAGTAAGCATGCAGTGTTTTGCGCACCAAAAATTAAATTGTTCTTTTGTTGCTAAAATCTATTTAAAAGGATTAATTTCAGCTAGCTACTTTTTATATACTTCTTATCCAAAAAATTTGCAATGATTTTTTTAGTGCGATTGGATTCGTCCCCCCCTCTTCCCCCCTTTTTTTTAATATAGGGTGCGGATTATTATATCTAAGCGTATGTAAAAATGTTGATTATCACGTCATTTTGGCACTTTCATGCAAAAGCAATATTTTCATTTTTCTCCTTTTCCTATCTCCTTTTTTACCTTCATTTTGATTTGTGTGATCAGCAACTTACGTCTTCATGAGTATCCCTTATTCTTCTTCTTATTTTATAATTTTTTGGGTAGTCAATCCCTTATTCTTTTAATTCCTTGAATTCTCAGTACCTAGGCAATTAATTTATAAGTCTTTAAATTGGAGGGGCAAATAAGCGACTCGAGGAATATACTCATTGAAATTCGTACAGGGAAAGTGAGTTGGTTTACTTATCATAAATACTTCGGCTAGGGAAACCCTCATTGAGGTAAAAATAAAAAACAAGGTAAACCTGGCCATAACAAACTTCTTTCTCTTTTCTCTTTTTCTTTTAAAAAAAAAAATACATCAAGCTTGTGTAATTGTAGATATTTGTGAGAAGAACCACTTCAACCCAAAATCTTAAGGTATTGGGTGAGAGTCTCCCTCACGCAAAAGTCAATTTTTTGACTTGAATCGTGGATACTAAACAAACCCAATTTTTGGTTTTATTAAAAATGAGGTAGTGAGGATCAAATTCGTGATCTCGAGATCACTGAAGCTCTACAACATTTTGTTCTGTTCCCTATATAGATATCATATGCATGCATCACAACAGGATCTCAATGTCCATTTCTTCATTCTAAGATGTAAGTTTGATGTTCTACATCTTCATTGTATTGCTTCAGAAACTCCAGTAAATCAAGATAGGGAAAAAGGCAGTGCATAGATGCTAATAGTAGCCTCCAAGAAGATTAATATTTAAGAGTAAATGTAAATTATACTGAAATAGATATTAGAAGGGATTTTAAAGAGGAAACTTTCATATGGGAAACGTTTATTATAGTACCAGTTTGTCTAACACTTGAAGGGGAATACAAACATATAAAGTTTTAAGCTTAATCTACAAACTTTTGTATTGTGTAATATTTCGTTTCTTTTTGACGAAGATTTAGGTTTACTTCATCAAAAGAACATATCAAAGAAAAAGAATATTAGGTCTAGCAAACCACATAAAATTTTCTTGTTCAGAAGCTTTGTTTTTATATCAGAAACGAAGTGGATGATTGTTTATTTTCTGCTTTAAATGCTTGACTTTTTAGCGTTTCATGCTGAGTAGTACTTGTTCAGTTGGCTTTATATTACAACTCACTTGCCCCATTATTGACTATTTCCTGTGTTACAGTTTGTGTAATTTGTAGATAATTATAAATCTAAATCCTATCTTTTTTCCTGCGTAAGGAACATTTTCGGAAACCTGTTTATTTTCCTTTTTTTAGTCATCACTTGGTATAACTGGATGATCAAATAAGTGCATCACATAAAACTGCTGAAGATGGTTTCTTATCATCAAACCACTCTTTCTTGTAGTGTGCATTTACTTTTATGAAGACACACAGGGACACCATTAAACTGGCAAACACACAAGATATGGTTAAATTTGTTGTTGACATCCTTTTAGTATTGTGGTATGGTTATCCTTACATTATCATCAAGTTGATGGTTCTTCCTTTCTTTATGCCCCTTCAAATCAGCATGCTCAAAACTCTTGAAAGGTACCAGAAGTGCAGTTATGGTGCTGTGGAAGTTAGCAAACCTGGCAAAGAACTTGAGGTAGCAACTGCTGTTGTTTAATTAGTGGCATTAAGCTTATGTTAGAAAGTTCATTTAGGAAACGCATAAGCCAACATACAAAATGTAATGTATATATAGCTTTGTTTCTATTACATATTGCAAAGTCTTTTGTTATTTTTCATTTGTTATTTTCTTTTGTAGCAGAACAGTTACCGTGAATACTTGAAGCTGAAAGGAAGATTTGAATCTCTTCAAAGGACCCAGAGGTAAATTGAATTTAATAGCTGAGTATTTAGAAATATAAACTCATTATAAAACAAACATGACTTTCACCTTTTCTCTGTTCATTTCTTGTGAGTTAAGGTTTGTGAAAAACTTTTAGTGGTCATTTAGTCACCAAATAAAATTTTCATATTTTTCATAAATAATATGCCAATTACAAAATGTCATGGTTCGAATTCAGGAAAACAGTCTTTGTACTTATGCAAGAGTAATACTTCGTATAAGGATTATTTATACCTCACATTTGCTAGTCGGATTTAACATGAGTGATTATTATTATTTTTTAATATGCCAATTACATTAGCAGGATTTACTTAATTTGACAATTGCGTTTGTCTCTGCCATTACAGAAACCTTCTAGGGGAAGACTTGGGTCCACTGAATACCAAAGAACTTGAGCAACTTGAACGGCAATTGGATTCATCTCTGAAGCAAGTGAGGTCCACAAAGGTAACGTAGTATGTATGTTTAAGAAATATGTTACTTTTTCAGCAAATTATACAGATGAAGATTATTAAAATGGTTCTTAATTAGTTGTTGCAGCAGCTTAATGTGATTTGTTCATTTTGTTTCCCTTCTTTTCGTAAGTATTTTTCTGTAACATTTTTTTTTTGTTTCTTTTTGCAAATAATATTGTCAATGCTTCATTTACTACATGATATAAAGGCATACTATGATATGATGATAGAAGAAATTTTGATCTACTAAGTAAGTTTTGCTGCATTAGGAGTTTGAACAGACATATAAATGGAATTACGTTATAGAAAACCGCAACGAATAGGATAGTATTTACTCTTCATAGAAGATTTTGACACTTTTAGATGTCAAGAAATTACATGTCTAATTGGAGAGCTGACTCAATTTATAATATGAGCGAACTGACAAAAGAGTAGGATTCAAAATCTACCGTTGAATAATTGTCACATCGTTTGATTCGAGATTAGTTTCATAATGTTACGGTCTTTTTTCCCGCTTGGGTCATGGGATACCCAGGAGCATGACTCATCCTAAAGGTATATTTAAAGTCATGAAATCCAACAAAAAGAATTACATATCTTGGGATTTCATAATTTAAAAATTACATATTTTTTTATTTACAAACTTTATTATGTATACATGAGTTGGTTTATGTACTACCTTAGTACATAGTTAAATTTGTAAATAAAAAATTTATAAATATAACCTTCCTTATGGTAGATATATGATTTATTGTGTTTGTATTCTTTTAAATTTTCACTATTTTGAAATTTCCTAAAGAAAAGTTTATTGTGACTCCTGTTGGTTATTTGCACTGTGTGGAACATCAATTTGCAGACACAATTCATGCTGGACCAGTTATCTGATCTTCAAAATAAGGTACATGGTGTTGACATAACTTGAGGAATAAAGTAGCTTTATGGTATCCTGATGATTTCAAGCTATTGTTTCGTTACAGGAGCAAATGTTGGTAGAAGCAAACAGATCCTTGACAATGAAGGTAACATTATACGTACCATTATCCGCAATGTTCTTCCCCTAATTAGCAATATTGGTTTTGTTCCGTGCTTCGTCCTTGCTGCATAAATATGTAGTAGAAGATATAGCTCAGCGTTAATGTGATACTTTATACCATAACTGTCTCCCCTTAGATATTTTGGTATGCTTACCTGGAAGTTCAAATTTTTTTCAAAATAGTCTTTTAAGATTTTTTAAGTTAACCAATAACCATTGGTTTAAGAAATAAGGAATTTGTTGCCCTTATTTTGTTCTCGTACCATTTTTTCCATTTTCACAAAAAAATGATACGAGAACAAAATAAATAAAAACCATAAGATGGAAATACTATTGCAATTTTTAACATATCATCATTCTTAGTCCTCTGGCATTAATAAGGTCCTTTGCTGATGATATGCTTCATGACTACCACTTGTTCCCAGCTGGAAGAAATCAATTCAAGAAATAACTATAGGCAATCATGGGAAGCTGGTGATCAAAGTATGCAATATGGTGGTCCACAGAATGCTCACTCTCAGAGCTTCTTCCAACCATTGGAATGCAATCCCACATTGCAGATTGGGTAAATAAATCATCATATTCTTGTCTGTTCTTGCTCAAGGTGAATTGTGTTACACTTTAACGAGTTTCCCTTTTCATTCAGTCCTGACTACAGGTACAATACTGTAGCACCAGATCAGATAACTGCCACAACTCAATCTCAACAAGTGACTGGGTTTATTCCTGGATGGATGCTTTGAGCTAAGTTCACTATTTATCTGGCTACATAAAACCAAACACCGTGCAAAAGAGCAAAGCCAAATGCTTCTTGGTGTTGGCAATGTGTAAATGCTACTGTGCTTCTATTGTTTTTTATTTTGGTACAACAACAGTTGTGACTCCCTTGAAACTATCGAACCTTTTTAGCCATTAGACATATGGCATGTAAGAAATTTATGTTAGAATATAACTTTGTTATGAATAAGAAGGAAGTTTGAGCTGAAAAGATGTGTTTTTTGGCCATCAAATAGGTGTAATTGAAATCGTGAGTGGACAATAATCTTAAGGAAATAGCTTCCATTGCGCTTGTAATTGTTTGCATCGATGATTCAAACGTGAGTTTCTTCCATTTCAAAATGATTTAAATATAACTATTCGAATTGATGCTTTGGTTTCCATTAGTTTAATGAATACAGATTGCACATACAATATACTGTATTCGGTGTTTGATTTATGCTTGCTATCGCCAACAATCTTAAAATGATTTATTGCATGTTGATCTATGTTTATATAAATCTGTTTTCCATATGAAGGAAAATTTCTCCATGTTTGAAATCATGAGTTCTTCAATTTCCAATTATTAAATGACTTGATTATCGCGGGAAGACATGGATTGAAAGGTAAAGGAAATTTTGTTTTCGCTAATGCCAAATTGAATTGACGGTTATAGTTTTTAGGGTTTGTATGGTGGACAAAATAGGAAAGGAATTGATGGGATAAGAGATCTGAATAAAAGTTGGAAAGAATAGTTTGATAAACTCATTTCCTATCCCATGTTTGATGTGCACCGGAGAAGCAGTATGGTAGAATAATGATATCATTCATATTCGGTATTTGAAGCAAACTATATGATATGATATAAATATACAAAAATATATATTTTAAAATTAATTTTTAAACTATATTTTTTTATTTAAAAATAATTCTTATTTTAAATTTTTAAAAAATTTCAAATTGAAATTTCTAAATAAAATATATTAACACACACAAATAATTTAAAAAAAATTCAAAATAAAAAAATTATATCTGAACAAAGTAATTTTTTAAAATTGAGTTTTGGATTAAATATTAATGTTGGTGGCCAATGGTTAGTGAAGTAGTGGTAATGGTGGTTGGTGATAATGGGTGTTGGTGACACCGTCGGCAAGGTAAGTGACAATTGTTGTGGCTGATTGAAGCAGCAGCAGTGGTGGTCTGGTGGATAATGGTGGCAGAGATGGTTGGTGCCTAGTGGTTTGCATAGAAGTGGCCTGAGATCGATGGTATCTAGTTGGTGGTGGTGGTGGTTGGTGTGGTGGTAGCAGGTGGGGGTGGTTAGTTGTGGTGGCACCAGCGACAACTAATGGCAACTGTGGTGGATTATTGATGGAGAGCGGGTGGTGGTGATGGTTGGCACTCAGTGGTTAAGCGTGGCAGTGGCCAATGCCAATGGCAACAATGATAGTTGTGGTTAGTGTGGTGGTGGCAGGGGGTGATAGGTGGCGGTGACCGATGACATTTGTGGGAGTTAATCAAGGGTGGTGGTGCTAGCGGGTGACAATGGTGGTGGCTCATAGCTCATAGCGATGTTGATGGCTGGTTGATAGATTATGGTCGTGATAGTAGGTGGTAGAGGTGGTTGATGGAAGGCGATAGCAGCTAGCAGCAATGGTTGGTTAATGGCAAGGATTAACGCTCATGTGCCAACAAAGTTTGTAGGAGAAGAGGATAGAGGTATATTTGGGATGAGGGATATGCAATTTCATATTCATTCCTAATCCAAGTCTCATATAAGAATAACTTATCATAATGCAGACAGATAAAATGAACCAACATGATAAATTTATGATATCATGGTTCACCAAACAATGGATATGATAGTATATTCTATCTTGTTCTGGATCCTTACCATCAAATGTGTTGAAAATCGACAATCACACACAAATCGTAAACGAAAAGAGAAATAGTGAGAAAATTGACACAGTAATTTACCTTGGTTCATCCAACAAAGGCTCTGTCAACAAGTCACTCAGTTCACAAGGAGAATATAAATAGGATTAAAAAATCTCAACAGCAACTATTCATGAGCTCAAATTCAAACTAGTAAGAAAAAAATAAAAATAAATCAGAAGCTCAAAACAGTACCTAAGCTCTACGGGACCTCATTTGTCTTTTTGTTGACCCCTACAATTAGCACCCTCGTCAACATGCGAAAACCCTTAAGAAATGACATCATGAAATTCATGGCATGTCGTAGTTTTTGACTTTTTGACCATAGTTATTACATTAATAATAATAATAAAGGTATAGGTGGGTAGAAATCAATTTCGTAATATCATCAAATTATTGATTGTCACAGTGCTGTCTAAGCTTACCCTGTTTGAACATATATATCAATTTAGTAAGTATTGAATTTTTATTGGTTTGTTGAAAGTTTAATTTTTATCCTTATAGTCTACATTAAATATATTTTTACTTGTTTCCAAGTCCCACTTTCTATAGATCTTGTTATTTGCAAACTGAGTTGCATTGCAACTCACCCAAGTAATGATTATATATTTTCATATAAAGACAAGGATAGCCTCTGAGTCCACTCATCTAAAAGTTTTATTGCTTGCTAGTGTGAGCCTAACACTTTTCTCGTTGGCAAAACTTCAAAGAATAAATTATTATTATGTACTTTAAATCTTACAACTTATTTTCTTTACAACCTCTCACAACCATATATCTTAACCGTTGATTTCCGCCAATCAACGGTTAAGATTTTCGTAAATTAAATTTATTAATTAATTATTAAATCATAATAAATTATAACCGTTGATTGACAGAAATCAACGGTTAAGATATATAGTTGTAAGAGGTTGTAAAGAAAATAGGTTGTAAGTATAACCTTCTTCTTAAATGTATATTAGGTTTTAGAGTTTCTTCATTATTTCTACAAACAAGTTGTGTTGTAAACTTCATAAACCTTATACATATTGTAATTTGAGGGCTTTTTGACCCTTTTGCCCCTCATTAATTAATTAATAACCAATTTGCTCCTGATCCAGAACTATCCACCAACCTGCCCCCTTTTAGTCGACTACCTTGCTTTTTTAGTCGAGCAAATGGTCAAACTTCAGAAAGTGGACTACCGCATATTTAGTCGACTAGAAAAGCATCTTAATCGACTACATTTTTGGGATATTTAGTCGACTAAGTAACGATATTTAGTCGACTAAATATCGACTGATTTGTTTTTTAAAAACCCCCCATTCGGCAGAGGGGGAGTAGCAAACCTAATCGACTAAGGAGGCGGCCCAAACCCCAAATCCGCAGGAGCAGCTGAAGAACGCCCCAAACCCTTCCCTCAGGCGTGTGGATTGCCCCCAAATACGGTCCAAATCGTGAAATCTGAAGGATAGGTAAGGTTTCTTAACTTGCATTGTGTTTTAGGTTTAGGAATTTTTTTTATTTGTTTGCTGTCCGAATTTGTGAACTCTAATCAAAGCGTTTGTTGTAGGTTTTGTAACCCTAATCTACTAAGGTTTATTTTTTTGCATTGTGTGAATTTTTTTGTTTGAAAAGTTTGTATGTGGCAAAAGTTTGCTTTTGGTTTACAGCCCTTATGTTGCAAGTTTTCATTACCATCATGACATGTCTCATATAGTTAAATGCTGACATGTTTCATTGTAGGTACCCTAAACAAATGACGAGCCGCAGAAGACCAAGCGATGAGGGCAATGAGTCACTTGAGAGACGCACCAAGCATAGGCAAGAGCGGCCTTCTTCGTCGAGGCGACAAGACGAAGAGCCTGATACTGTTGACCTCCCGTATGGGTATCTGTTTGAGGATGACCCTGCCGTCCACGCTTCATTCGTACGTGACCATTTGAACCGGCTGTTATGTGCTCCAAAATCTTTGGATACAGCCTTTTTTGATAAGGAGGGATTTGAAATTGTGGGGGTGTTGGAGGCGGCACATCTGAGGGTGTTGGCCGAGACCCTATGTCCGTATTCAGAGCTTATGGTGCGGGCCTTCTACCATAACCTCAGCTACGTACAGGGCGAGCTGAGGTCGAGGGTCTGTGGAATAGAGATCATCATGACGGCACCTGCATGGTTGGAGATACTCGGCTATGATTTTGATTCTTCTCAGACTGTGGCGTATGACGCTGATAGTGGTGTAGTACTTCCAGGATATGTACGAGAGGATGCCGTGCAGGAGCAGAGAAGAGTCCGTGGGGAACACTTGCACTATACGGTGGGGTTGCTTTCTGTGGAGTCCCGTATACTACACTATGTCCTCACCCACGTTCTGTTTCCGCGATCTTTTAATCATTCCAGGGTGTTGGAACATGACATTCCCATTATGTGGGCTATCCGACATGCCCAGATGGTGAACTGGAGGCACTATATCTGTTGGTTTATGTTTAAGGCCAAACATAAGGGTCATCTTCCATACGCCTGTCTGGTACAGAGGATATTGGTTCACTTTGGTGTTCCCATGGAGACTGAGCTGTTGAAGAAGACCACGGGCTATAATTGCAAGTTCGGAAAGCGTCTATTGGAGCAGTGCAAGATTACTAAGAACACAAGATCGGGTGTGTGGGAGTTCAGTGGTATGCCCCAGGTTGAGGTTCCTTATCTTGCCCCAGATGACCATATTGTTGAGCCAGAGGTGGAGGAGGAGGAGGAGGATGTGGCTGAGGTTGAGGAGATAGCTGAACCTGAAGGTGGATTTTCACTGCGTGATGTCATGAAAGGCATAAATGCAATGACAAAGAAGATAGGAAAGATGGCGCTGGCACATAAAAAATGAAAAAAGAAAGGGAATGAAAGGTTTAGACACATACAGGGAAGGTTTAAGGGTGTGGAAGACAGGCTTGCTCGTCTGGAGCTTGCAAGAGGTGGTGAGGTAGCTGAGGCAGCAGGGGATGTCCACTTTCTAAAGTTTGACCATTTGCTCGACTAAAAAAGCAAGGTAGTCGACTAAAAGGGGGCAGGTTGGTGGATAGTTCTGGATCAGGGGCAAATTGGTTATTAATTAATTAATGAGGGACAAAAGGGT